ATATATATATATATATAACTACAAAGTAGGTACTATTTTTACCATTTCTCATTTTACAGATGTGAAACTTAAGCACAGAGATGTTAAGTAACTGGCTCAAAATCACACAGCTTAGCAGCTTAGTAGACTGTACAACCAAGTTTTGAACCCAGTCAGTCTGGCTCCAGAGACCATAGGCTCCTACTGCACTTTAGGGGAGCAAGCAGGGGATGAGGGAGAGGAGGGGCTGAGAGGGCTCATCCTCTCTCTCCTCTGGGGGCTCAGGGGGGAGGTGCACCCCCAGGAGCTGCAGGTAAAGGAGCAGTGGTAGCATTCCGTGGGCCCACTAGCTATCAGTTGCTCTTGCCTCATCTACACGAGGAAACTGAGGCTCAGAGAAGTTCAGAAACTCCTGCCCGAGGTGTCATAGCTAGTTAGTGGCAGATACTGGATTCAAGTATCTGCAGGAACAAATAACCTCAAAGCCCACGAATTGTTATCATGACGGCTGCATCCCAATGCTGTCACTAACTCAAACTTCCGGGGCACATATTGTTTGGTAAGGGGATGTCAGCAAGTAGAGGCAGGTATCAGGCACCTGAGCTGCCAAGGGCAATATTCAGGAATCCTGTCTAGCCTGGGCTGTTCACAGGTATGCAGGTAGCTTCCAGGGATGGGCCTATCTATGGTCCTATCGTACGGCAGGGCAGAGGCAGAACTCACAGCCAGGGCTCTGAAGACAGCCGCATCCACTGCTGGTCTGGAGTCCCAGCTTGAGGGACAGGGGGCTCCCGCCCCCCTTGCTCTGGGAGAGACATGAGCAGACAGTGGGCTTCTGAGTCTAAAGTGGCAGAGGCTTGTGGGCTGGGGACTGGGATCAAGAGAGCCTTCTGCAGCCCTGCTCAGGGCCCCTGCATACAGTTGAGCAGGTGGTGTACTACACAACTCTAAAGCTTGCCACACATGTCACCATTTGTAATACATTTGTAAACTGTGTAACAATTTCTGGTCAAATTAGTGGAGGGTCTTGAGGAAGGGGCACCCTTTCTAATTCACACAAAGGTGCAGGCAGAGATACCAGGCAGGTGAATCGGGCTTGGCTGAGGGCACACAAGACACAGGTCTCTGGGGTGGGGGCTCAGGTGAGCCTGGGGAGGCAGCTGGTCATGGAGGGGACGGTCCTGGGTCCTTACCATTGGCAGGAGAAGGAAAGCGGCCAAGGAGGCCTGCACGACGCTGGTCATGATGTTTCTCAGCCCGGAAGGAGGCTCAGGCCAGCACCACTTGCCTCCCACTCGGAGCCGCCGCTCGTCAGCCCCACGGTGTCCAGGGGCTAGAGAGAAAGGAAAGGCATGAATCCTGCAGGCCCAATGGCGGAGGGGGCGCGGGAACAGCCTGCCCTGCCTCCTGACCCCTCCCCCACCTGCAGCAAGGCTCTCAGCCTCCAAGGGGACCCCCTCTATGCTTTTTTGTCCATGCTGTTCTTGACTCTTCAGCCCACAGACATCTGCTGAGCACCTACTCGGTGCTCAGCCCAGGGGATACAGTGGGGAGCACACGGCTCAGGCCCCCCACAGACCACTGGGATGGTCTGGATGGCTTGCTCCCCTGTAGTGGATGATTGTCTCCCCAGATCTCTCTCCACAGGGACAGAGTTTCAGCTGTCACCTGTGAGCCCACCTGGAGAGGGCGTTTCCCAGAGCCTCGTGCTCTCAGGTGATGAACTTCCCACCTATGGGACGAGGGTGGCAGTGACATGAGCCACTTCAACACCACCTGTCATAAGGCCTTGACACTCTCCACTTCTGCTCCTGCGGCCTTCCCAAATGCCAGACGCTACCTGGCTTTGACAGTGCAGCAAGGAGCATACCTGGGGCGAGAAGGAAGGGAGAAATACTCCGAAAGGAAACAGGATGACTGAGCGGGCTCCTGGAGCCGGGCCACCCCAGCAGCTCCAGCCCACTGCGTGAGAAACAGCCGCACTTCTCACTGGCTCACTCAGAGAGGGCCGCTTTGTTCCCGCTGCCCAGCCTGGTCGCCTAGCAAACACAGCCTCTTTTTCACCCTGCCTCAGCCCACTGGGCCGCCAGGATAAAGCTTTTACCTCCGCGACATACAAAGTGGCTGCTGAAGGGTGTGCTCGGGCCTCAGAGCGGCAGCGGCTCCAAGAGGGAGGACTGGGGCCACTAGCGGGGACAACAGGGTGCAGGGGGCTATGGGGCCACATCCGCAGGGGAACAGCCTGGTCTACTTCTAACGCTGATCACTAAGCATCTTTCCTTCAATCCCACAGCTCTGCACCTGGGTCTCTATCCTAGAGACATATTTGTACAAAAAGAAGCATATGTGAGGATATTCACTGCAGCATTATTTAAAATGGCATCACCAGAAAAAAAAAAAAGAAAAATGAGGCAATGAAGCATGCATCAAGCAGGCACTATTCATAGGCCCCAGCATAGCTGTACAATGGAATACTACACAGTAATTTTTAAATTATTTTTATTCCTATTCAGTTATTTAAAAGATTGAGTAGACCCACGTCAGGGCCCCCACTACGCCACAGGTGCCTGGTTCAGGAGGCCCGGGGGCTGCTTCCTGGTTATTAGTCCTTGCACACCTGCACCAGTGCACAGAACGGCCATTCCCCAGGGGCCTTTGTGCCCCGGCTGTCTCTCCACCCACACCTCCCTCCGTCTCTCCTTGCCTCTCCAAGCTGTCCCGGGCCTCTCTAAGCTTGACTGGGTGACAAAAAAGACCCAAGAAGGCAAAAGAAAACCAGCCACAGGAAGGCTCAATGAAAGGAGCCCCTATCTTACCCACCTGCCACTCGCCCTGCTCGGGGCTCATTCAGAGATGCTGATGGAGGCCTCACCTATCTCCCAGAGAAGCTCTGTGAAGCCCAGGTGGCCATGGGGATGTGGACACAGCCTCCCCTCCTGTGGTTCAGGAAGGACTGTGCAGGCTGGGGAAGCACTGGCTCCCGCATCCATGGGCACCAGCTGTGCCAGACACAGGCTGCCTCTGGCATGATGGGGCACTGGTGGTCCCCTAGGGGTTCAGATCCCTGGGGAGTCTGAGGCCCTGTCTGACCCGCCTGGCTGGAACAGAGGAATGCCTGGCCCACACCTCAGCAGGTGCTGGAGGCCACCTCTCTCAGCCAGGAGAAGGCCTCCGAGATGTGGGCCTGACTCTCCCGCACATAGGACGTCAGGCCAAAGGCTGGTGAGACATGAAGTCAGGGAGGCCTCCACCAGGACAATGCTAGGGGCCATCAGCACCTCCATCAGCCCCTCTGGCAAAGGTGCCAGCAGTCTCAGCCAGCAGCCTGGGCCTGGGTTCTGAGCCACGATCTAGACCTTTTGCTTCTGCGGGTCAGCTTTCTGGGGGGAGAAGGTGACTCCTCGTCTCAGCTCCCTCCTTGGGCTGCCTCACGGCCACACCAGGTGCAGACACACCAGGCAAGAGCCAGAGGAG